CAAATGACGATTGTTTTCTGCCGCCACATTTATCAACGTGCGATCATTCGTACGATGAGGTTGGCGGCATACGAATGTTTCATGAATCACACGTGAACTCTCTCGTAAGTTGACTTGTGCGCACGGATCTGCGCTCGTTTCTACGTTAGATTGATAAATGAGGCCAATTGTCTCTATTTTAACATGAAATACTACCATAATTGAAAAGTAATGTAAAAATCTTAGACATTTTTTTTTATTTATTTTCAATGGGAATTTTTTTTTATCATAATTATTGCATAAATATTAATTATTACCATTAAATTCTTTCAAAATACAAAATAAAAAAGAACAAATATTATGGAACAAAACAATATTATACATTGATTTTACTGAAAATAAAAAAGTTACATTTCAGGTCAGTTTGGACTGCGAACAACACAAGTGTGACCCCCCAAATGAACAATAGGGTTAAAAGGAGCAATTCATTAAGCACTGAATGTTCTCTGATTGCAGAAGTTGTTGGTCTTGGCTTTGGTTTTAGATTTTGTCAGTTTGACCTCTAAAATGACCTATACGTTTTGATGCCGGAGTTGAAAATAAAATAGTTATAATATAATAGTGTTTTTCCTGCACTTGAGGTCACTTCATCTGTCTAACTCTCTGTTTCTCTCTCATATTTAGTGAGTCAAATTTGTGTCATAAGGAAAACACAATTTCTTTTTGTATTTCTCATAGTCTTCAAAAGGCTGAGTCAAAGACATTGCTTTATAATCTCTGATTTATGTCTCTCAGTGTTTCCTGTGTTCTCCAGTCTTGACTGTGACCTCTGTCAAAAGGAGAATGAACAGGCTTGTAATAAAAACTAAGCATTTCTACATGGAATTCTTTTTTTTTAATGAAGTTTTATGGCTTTATTCACCTCATCTCAATCAAATGATCATGGCTATAAAGTTAAATATAATGTAACCACAATCCAAACTTGGTCCAAACTAAACAGCAAGAACAGACCACCATTCTGGAAAGAGTCGTAATTCCAAAAACAGAGTTAGAGAACTAGTTTTAGAGCAAACAGATTAACAGATACCAGACCTGGGGCCAGATGTACAATGGCAAAAATAGAACAGCACAAATGGTATAAATAGTACAAATGAAAGAGGTATAAGGCCAAAAAATGGAATTTCTTTCTGGGAATTCCTTCTGGCTTTTTTTTTTTTTTTTTAGCAGCCATTACCTCAGGCTTCAATGTCACCTTCAGAAATCATTCTAATATGCTGATTTTGTGTTTAAGAAACATTTCTTATAAAGCAGCGGTGGTGCTGCTTAAATTTTTTTTGTGGAAACTCATCAGGTATCTACTTTCATTTTCTTTTTTGTTAAATGAATTGTGTATTCTGAGTCTGTCTAGAAGGCCACCCAGAGAGTGCATGTTAACAGAAATGGTCCAATATGTCGACCATATGGGGCTGTAAACTGATTAGGGGAGGCACGCCTGGAGATATCCCTCCCTCTCTCAGTCACTCTTGATAACTATTTGCTATCTTTCTATTTTTGCTGAGAAATTCACCCAGTGGGTTGCCTAAGTGATTTTCATGACTAACCAATGAGCCGTGATTTATACAGTGCAAACAAATTCCAGCGATTTTATGTTTCTCACACAGTTAAATATAGCTTTTTGTTTTGCAGCAGTTTTTAATTAGGATACACAGACAAAAACACCATATTTAAGTTTCTCACCAAATGCACAGATGGATTTTGAGAAATCCATTCATTTTTTTTAATTTTTGCAACTTTTGCCTTGAGTTAAAAAAACGGAATGTTTTGACATGTTTAAACATCAAATCATTGTCATGCCTCTTAGGTCAGAGGAAAAATGTAGACAAACCATTTTTTTCTCAGTGACGTGTTTACAGTCTTAGAAAAGTCACTTTTTTACAGTCTGCATTTAATGGACTATATAGACTTTAATGTCCAGCTGTAATGGTCTTCTAATGTCTTATCTGAAATAGACTTCAGGAGATTAAAGACTAAGTGAATGCGTCTGCTGTGGATATCTGTATACATACCGTGCCTTGCAAAACAGTTTGACAGTATTTAAAAAGATGCATTATTTAAAAATCTTTAACAGTATTTGTTAGTGTTGAAATTTTATTTTATTAATTTCTTTTTCACCATAAACAATAAAGTCAAAGAATGTGCTTTCCTTGTTTATTTCTCATAAAATCATGAAAGCCACATCGAGGAGTATCGACAACCAGATAACAAAGTCCAGACAGACTTGATTAACATGTCTTGTAACACTAGGAGGTCACAGTTTACATAGGGTGACCATACGTGCCATTTTCCCAGGACGCGTCCTGGGAAAATGGCACGTATGGTCACCCTAAGTTTACAAGTCCATACTATGAAAACAACATTTTATGGCCAACAGCTCCTTCATATCAAAATTTTCAGGGTTAAAAACACAGCATCAGATGTGTTTGTTTATGTATGTGTGCAGAGGATGTGTTCACAGGTGGAATATTTCGACACTGTGAAACGAAACTAGGTGTAAACAGGGCCTAAATCACATATCATTGCCAGTGTCTGCTTCTTAAACACTTACACAGACAGACAGACAGACAGATAGATAGACTATTGGCAAACACTAAAACACAATATTATTTTGTAAACTTTAAAATAATACTGTGAAACGAAACTAGGTGTAAACAGGGCCTAAATCACATATCATTGCCAGTGTCTGCTTCTTAAACACTTACACAGACAGACAGACAGACAGACAGACAGACAGATAGATAGATAGACTATTGGCAAAAACTAAAACACAATATTATTTTGTAAACTTTAAAATAATACAGGCTAGACTGTGTTGTTGTAATGGCATTTTCACAAACATTTTCATCCAGATTTTGATTTGTTTGAAGTTGAGAAATAAAGGCTGTACACAGATTTTACACATCCAGTTTTATGGGGCATAATTAAGCTAATGGTTTACACGTGTATGCTTGTGTACAGATGTTTCTGAACAGCTGCAACATGACCGTGATATTTCCAATCATAGGGGAAGTTTTAACATTTTCAAAAATAATTCCAACGCATTTTACTCACTTCTGGGGGAAAGTGGTGGATTTTCCCACACTCTTTTACGCGAATCACGACGATTAATTGTAAATGAATCATTCTTTGGGTCGGATCTTTTCAGTGGATTGGTTTACAAAAGTAGTTCAAACTATTTGTTCATTGTTCACTATTTGTTTAAAGTTACAAGCAAGATATAAAAACTTTTAGGGTGAACCGGGGATATTAAAACGGTTGTAGCCTATATATGTAAATAGTTTAATGTAAATATAAATATAGCCTAAATATACGTAAGTTCAAAATGACTTTGTTTTTTAATTAATTGTATGTGTCCCTGTCTAGGAAGATCACCTTTACTACATGATGCGGCATTACTGGAACATTTTAGACTAGAACATGTAATATTAGAGGTAGGGATGTGGGGCACCACGCAATGACTGAAATAAGAACCACTGAATTGTTTTTGAACCGGTTCTTTGAAATGACCTCGTTGAAGGAACCGATTCGCAGAATGAGTCGGACGGCATCCGCTCTGAAAGCAATGAGGTGTCGTGACAACATCAGTACACGCCCACCGCATCCGGAAGTACTGCGGGCTTGAGGATTTGTTTTGATGTCATCATAGCAAGTTAAATCGTTGTCTTCACGCCTTATCTAGAGTCACTAAGTTGGAAAGCTCCTTGAAATCGATATTTTTCAGTCTTGCCTTTATTTTATTTCGGAGTTCGAGGTCGGGAAGTTCAACTCAAGAAAGAAACGCAAATCCTCGGAGGAGCTGCTGTGATGAAGAACAGGTTAAAATGAGTTGCCATATAGCCGTGAAGCTGAACTCAGTTAACAGCCTTTAAACGTCAATCATGGATTGTACAGCTCTTGAACTCGATGCTATTAAATTTGCCAAATCAGCTGTACTGCATGATCAGAAGGGGAAATACAATGAAGCTGTTTTCTACTATAAGGTAAGATTTTCCTATTTGACATTTAAGGCTAATTGATCTTAAACTTCCTGAAAATGCTTTATTGTTTAATGGAATTATCAGCTTGTTCCATGTTATGGCAATAAAAGCTGCCATTAAACAATTTTCCCATTAAAATAAATTCATATATCAATATACAGTATATTCAATATTGAATAAATATATTCATATTTTCTTTGTGGTTCTGAATAGGAGGCTGCCCAGGCTCTCATCTATGCAGGCATGGCTGGATCCAAACTAGAGAACATTCAAGACAAAGTAAACGAGTACTTGGACAGAGTACAGACTCTACTCAGTGCCGGTCAGTTTACGTGAACTAATACCAATATGACCTCATCAAAAAGCTGTTTTTATCTATTGATGCTCAGTATCATGATTTACACTTTCTTTTAAGTTGCTTCTTTAGGGCTGAATGTTTCCTACCATTCTCTGTGGTCAACAAAAGTGAAACCTCCTCGTTGTTGTAGATGGAAGAAATTATGCTCATATTTTCCGTGGCCCAACCTTTAGAAAGCTTGCATAGGTCATACCTCATTTGAAAGTGGTGTGACAAACCCAGCATTTGGGAATCACAAATGAATGCTGTCAGATTTTCTAGTTCACAGTTAAAACACAATTCTCTTCCTCGTTCTCTTGTGTTATGTCATTTGAGAACAGCATTACATTTGAGTTGTCTACATTAATGTTCTCTCATTAATTAATCAACTTTAGGTCATTGCAAAATTCTATGACTTTCTCCCTTGGAACACAAAAGAATTGTATCGGTTGCTCTTTTTAACAGTGATTGGTTTCAAGCTTCAAAATGGATGCAAAAGGGCCATAAAAGTATAATGAAAGTGTCCTATACAAGTCATGTGCTGTATTTCAAATATTCTGAAAATATTCTAAATGTCAGCTTTGTGTGAGGAACAGACTAGAACAGACTAAAGTCAGTGAACTTAAAACCTTAATTATAATGCCAGAAACACTGAAATCAAAATTATTTACCCCTAATTATTTACCCCAATTACCCCCCCCCCCAATTAATATTTTTTCATTGATGAACTTATTGAATCAGATTCTGGGATCCTCTGTTGGACAATGGAGGAGTCTAAAAGGTTGAGAACCACTGCTTTAAAAAATGTTCAAAAATTGGACATAATTGAGGCAGATTTCAAGATTTTCAGTGAATAAGAACCTAGGCTAAATATATGTTTTTTTTCCGCACACTAAGCTATCATATGACTTTAGAAGATTTAGAATATAATACACAAGTCTTATGGACAACGTTTATTGTGCTTTTCCATACTTTTCAAAGCTTGCAAGCCTAAGTCTCCATTCATTGTAAATGTGTTAGTTCACTGACTGAATCCCTGTGATTAGTTCAAGCACAGAGCAGTGACCCTCTGAAGAGTAAGCATCAGCTGGATCTAGAGAGGGCGTACTTTCTGGTGACACAGGCTTTTGAAGAGGATGAGAAGGAAAACGCAGATGAGGCCATTGAGCTCTATACACAAGCTGTGGAGTTGTGTATTCAAGCGGTGAGTCGTCACATAAGGGGAAATGTTTTGAGTTTGATCATACTCTTTTGTTCAAAAGTCTCAAAAAAGGGTCAATAAACAGTCAATAGGGTTTTTTTATTTCAAAGACATTAATATCTTTATTAAGCAAGGGGACATTCAACTGATCAGAAGTGACAGTAGAAACATTTGCATTGTTACAAATAGTTCAATTTCAAATAAATACTAGTATTTTTTTTATTTTATTTTTTATAAAAGAATTCTAAAATAATTGTACTAACCCCAAACTTTTGAACAGTAGTGTATATAAAGAACTCTATAATATGATCATAACTATACATGTGGACTTAGATACTAGCAGCAGTTCTGAAGTAATAGTTGTCAGTCTTTGAAACAGGTGGTGGTGTTAAGTTGGTTGTTCTGGTTTCATATCTCTCACTGCCGGTTATATGGGCTCCTCTGTAACTAGAAACTGAGCCAAGCCCTGTAATCTTTGAACTCTTTCTCTCTCCCAAACAGACCAGTGAGACATCAGATCAAGCACTACAGGGGAAACTGAAGCAGCTTGCTCGGCAGGCTCTGGACAGGTGCTTCACTGTTTACTCTAATGCTAAAATACTAATACTCCAGTGTATTATGAATATTTTGTGTGAAATACCACATAATCAACAGCAGTATCTACAGCAGTTGTGGCATATTGACGATTACCATAGAATATTACGAGAATCACAACTATCACACATTTGAAAATAGAATGATGCACAATCAGTGCAATGCACATTTTACCCATAATCCTTTCATCTCCTTTTCCTCTTTCAGGGCAGAGGGACTGAAAGACTCTCTTAGTAAACCAGCAAACCAGGATAAGGCTGCCTTCTCTGCATCCAAAGGCCCTGCTCAGGTGACGCAGTTCTTTCCGTTGGGCCCAGACTTCTCCCTCCAGGACAAAGCGCAGCCGGTCCGAGCAGTGCAGTCCAGTGAGCCGCAGGGTCAACGTTACACAGCAGAGGAGATTGAGGTTCTCAGGTAGGCTCAGCAAACATGATGTCTTATATTTAATTGTGCATTCTCAGTTCCCCTGTGTGCATTTTTATCACCTTTACCTGGCATCTCACACTCACTACAGTTAATCTTACAAAAGTGCTAATAATTTTAATATAGTGTTAAATCTATCTTTTGTCAATCTCAAAATGAATATCTGTTTTTTATGCTGTGCATTTATAATGTTGTGATGACTAAATTGACTTTTAATTTATTTTATTTGGACAAAACATTATATAATTTTATAATATGGGTTTTAATTGATTGGTTGTCAGCCACAACATGAAAAAAAATTGTCTCGTTGATATCAGCGTTATTTGTCTCGTTTTTTTTTTTTTAGCATTTTTTCAACATAATGCATATAAGTTCGTTGACATTTTGAAAGTATAATAATTTGAAAATATATTCTTACTTAATTGTTTTCTTTTTTTTTGTGTGTTTTGCAGGAAGACCTCTAAGATAAATGGAATTGAATATGTTCCATTCATGAGTGTTGACCTGAGGGAACGTTTTGCGTTTCCTGTTCCATTCTCGTGAGTACCTTATCTATGAGTGCAATTTGAACAAGTGCAGCTGTTTCACTGACATCCACTGGTATTTTTGTACCCTGCAACAGCTGTATTTTGCTTGGATTTACACTAACTCAAAAGTTTGGGGTCAGTAGGATTTTGTTTTGTTTTTTTGAAAGAGACATTCAATTCATCAAAAGTGACAGTAAACGATGAGTTCTATTTCAAATAAATGCAGTTTATTTCTCTCTTTTTTTTTCTATTCGCCAAAGTATCCTGGAAAAAAAGCTATATCATGGTTTCCACAAAAATAATAAGCAGCACAGCCATTTTCAACATTGATATTAAAAAAGCTTTTGAAAATTCAGCTTTGCCATCACAAGAATGCATTACAATTAAAAATATTAAAATAGAAACCAGTTATTTTCATTTGTGATAATATTTTTCAATAGGTTAACATATTTCTGATCAAATAAATGCAGTCTTTGTGAGCATAAGAGACTTCTTTCAAATACATTAAAAAAATCTTACCCATCCTAAACTTTTTAACAGTAGTGTATTGAAGAGCAGTAGTCTTATAACACTGAAATATAGCACTGTCAAAATATTTGGGTGACATGATTATGTTTATAAATAGGGACAAATGTGGGAAACTAGCTCTGTCACCAAAGCAGAAAGCTGTATTCTCACGCTGGGTTCGACCTGATGACATCTGCAATAACCCCACCATGATCTACACTGTGTCCAGCTTCAGCATCAAGCAGGTCACGCTTTATGCATCTCTGCTTCTCATTCAAACTTTAGCAGCCAGTTAACAGGAAACAACTTGGCCAGTAATAGTTTTGAATACTATTTAAAGCAGTTTTGCCATTCAGAAAGCTCTGTTGTTTGCTCATGTGACTTTAAGCTTATGTAATGTTCTTTTGTTTGTTCATGCTTGCAGACGGTTGTGTCAGACTGTTCTTTCATTGCCTCATTGGCCATCAGCGCAGCGTATGAGAGACGCTACAACAAAAAATTAATCACAAGGTACAACGGAACGGGTGTGCTAGGCCTTACTGTTTACACTAATAGTTTGACTCATGTGTAACCCTTGGATTATGAAGCTGCTTTTTGGATGCCTCATGGACTGAATCAACTTGAGAATGTCAGGTGTCCTCAGGCTGGAATGTCAAAAATTCCTGAACAAGCACCTCTAATTTACTGTTATTTATATTAATAATAATTATATAACAAGAACTATAGAAGTCATTGGGTGGTTTCCACAATGATAAAATGTTTATTTGCGTGTTTGTATGTAGCATCATCTACCCACAGAACAGGAAAGGAGAGCCAGAGTATAACCCTTGTGGGAAGTACATGGTGAAACTGCACATTAACGGCGTCCCGAGAAAGGTGCTTAACCTCTTTTAAGCCCCAACTCCTCAAATAAACTCCATTTTTTTCTATTGTCGTCTTCATTGTTTGAAGATGAACAGGTTCAGGATTGTGTTGTCATAGTTCAGGTGTGTGTTTCTCTGTCAGGTGATTATTGACGATTTCCTCCCGGTGGATCGCAATGGCGAGCTGCTTTGCTCCTACTCCAGTAATCGCAATGAACTTTGGGTGTCGCTCATTGAGAAGGCTTACATGAAGGTCATGGGTGGATACGATTTTCCAGGCTCCAACTCTGTGAGTGGCACTTCAGACTCAGATGCTTCTCTAAACAAAACATTTCTGTCACCAAAATTAATGTTTTTTTTTTTTTTTTACAGAAAAATACAAAGGGATACGCATATATTACAATTCTGGTTGATTTTCATGTTATGGCTGATGGTGAATGGATAAAATAATGATATTGGATTTTTTGATGAAGTTCAAGAGAACAGTGTTTATTTGAAATAGAAATCTATTAAAGGGTTAGTTCACCCAAAAATGAGAATTCTGCTATTAATTACTCACCCTCATGTCATTCCAAACCTGTAAGACAAATTAAGATATTTTTGATGAAATCCAAGAGCTTTCTGACCTTGCGAGAGCTTTCTTCTCTTGCGCGTCAGTCTTTGACGCATTCACGACAGAACCAAGACAAATTGTTGAATAAAGTCGTTATTTTTTATTTCTTTGCGCACAAAACGTATCCTCGTAGCTTCATAAAATTACGGTTGAGCCCCTGATGTCACATGGACTATTTTAACGATGTCCTTGCTACCTTTCTGGGCCTTGAACGTGTCAGTTGCATTGCTGTCTATGCAGGGTCAGAAAGCTCTCGGATTTCATTTAAAATATCTTAATTTGTGTTCCGAAGATGATCGAAATTCTTACAGGTTTGGAACGACATTCAGGTGGTGAATAATTAATGACAGAATTTTCATTTTTGGGTGAACTATCCCTTTAAATTTTACTGACCCCAAACTTTTGAACAGTAGTGACACTTAGAACTATGGTGACACTTTCGTGTTTTCTTGTTGTAGAATATTGATTTGCACGCTCTCACTGGCTGGATCCCAGAGCGTATCGCTATGCACTCAGACAATCAGTCCTTTAACAAAGATGACACTTTCCGCATGCTTTACCAGAGGTAAGCACACATTCACAGTACTCACACAATACACTGGTTTGTATTGATTTCTGACCACTGTAGGTCACATGTTCCTTTAGATTCGGTAGTTTGTAGCTGCTTCAATACTTTACTGGCCTTATTTCACTTGCCTGTATTGATTCTGAGCATAAATAGTTTGTGTACAGTGTTATTTATGTAACATTATAGTATTTATTAAGATTTTTCAGTTTTTATTTTAATTTTACTTCAAGTTTTAGTAATTTTGTTATGTGCTGCTGGCATTTTTTTTATATTTCTATTTAGCTTTAATTTATATTTCTGTTTTAATCATTTTAGTACTTCAGCTTAAGTTTATTTCAGTTAGTTGCAAAGGCAACATTTCTCTCTACTTTTTAAAATTATTTTTAAATGTTTATTTTATTTCAGCCTTATTTAATTTGCCGAAATAAAAAACAAACAAACAAATTATTTACATGTATTTAAAAAGGGACCATGCACAATTTTAACATAAATGTTTCCATTTCATGCATTGTACCGAATTTAGCCAATGGCTAGTTTTCATCCGCAGTCCCTTGGCAGGTAATCATAATCATAAGTAAACATAAGACAACAAACACATGCAATACAGTAATATTTATACACATCCTATCAGAGCCAAAAAAGAACAGTAAAGATAACGTTCAGTTAAACCACAACCATGTCAGTATTTACATAGTTGAGTTGATTATAAATAAGATTTTAGTTTTAATTTAAAAATGTCCACAACCATGTCAGTGTTTACAGAGTTGAGTTGATTTTAAATGAGATTTTAGTTTTAGTTAAAAAATGTCAATAGATGTGCACATCCGTATGTCTTCTGGTAGAGTGTTCCAATTAATAATAGATTCAGTTTTAGTTAACATTAACAATACTGGTATTCTGTTGAACTTTTTGGCAGGTTTCACAGAGGAGATGTTCTCATCACCACGGCGACAGGGGTCATGACTGAGGAGGAGGGGGAGAAGTGGGGTTTAGTGCCCACACATGCATACGCTGTCCTAGACATCAGGGAATACAAGGTGAAACTCTCGACCGGTCTGTGTTAAAAATCTTCTGCTTAGTGGAGTCTCATGACTATAACAACAACATCATCATCATTATCTCCTGCTTGTTCTCTCAGGGTAAATGCTTCCTCCTGCTGAAGAACCCATGGAGCCATCTCCGATGGAAAGGGCGATATAGCGAACGTGATGAAAAGAACTGGACACCAGATCTTCTCAAATACCTCAATTTTGACCCCAAAACCGCACAGAAGTTTGACAATGGTAAGTCGGTGCTAAACTAGCAATGACACATGACAAATATTGCAAAAGAAGGTGTTATTGACTATATTGTGTGATGTTCTTTAAGGTGTATTTTGGATCATCTGGGAAGACTTGTGCCAGTATTACGATGTCATCTATTTGAGCTGGAATCCAGCACTGTTTAAAGAATCCTCATGTATTCACAGGTCTGTCTCATTGTCATTACATCTATGTAATTGTCTGATTAATAGCAGATAATTAGAAAATATATGTGAATTGTGCTATTGCAGTAGCTGGGATGGCAAACAGGGACCGGTGAAAGATGTCTACAGCTTGGCCAATAATCCTCAATTCAAGTTGGAGGTGCAGTGTCCTCAAGGGGGTGCTGCTGTATGGGTCCTACTCACCAGACACATCACTGACAAGGTACTGCAACAGATTACAGTGCAGTGCACTACAATCAGATCAAGGGGACACAGTTAAAGCTGGTATCTTAAAACTGTAATTAAATATGCATAAAGAAAAACATTTTAAATAAGTACATTGAATTAGCAGGGCCACACTGCTACTAAGATCTGTTTTGGACCTTTAACATATACTGACAACCACCATAAACACACAAGTGGTAATGAGAAAACCACATGATGAATCATCACAAGTAGTTTTTCCATAGGCTGAGATGCTATTAAGAAACACTGTTATTTGTATGAAATAGCATCAAATGTAAGCTGTCACACAGGTAATTCAGGGAATGTCAGTTCGCATTTTTTCACTGTAAATGACTTTTTTTTTTCATGTCCACAAACTGAACACACCATCAACTACACACTAAGGGTAAGACACAATCAAGTGCGATAATTTTTATTTTTATAGTATTTTAATCATATCAACATGAATATGCTCTTTCCAGGTGTACTCGGTATGCAAGTTTCAATTATGTGAAGTGCATAATGATTTCATACTGTTGTGTAATGCCCAATCAGTTGTTTGCTAAATGTCATTACACAACCTCAATGTTTAATTCAGTTATTATCACCTAGTTACCTGTAACATAAAAATGGTTATTTGCCTTTTTTTTTTATCAGTTTTGTGTAAACACATTTTCTGCTTTGAATATAAAAATTAATATAAATAATTATTCAAGAAGAAGTAAAAAATTGTGGCTGATATTCCTTGACCTTCTATTTTGCAATGTGACAAGTGAACCACAAGTTATTCTTGTTGCTTTATGGCATATAGGATTCAATGCACTGTGCTTAGATTTTACATGCTAAAGTTTTCAGCAGCCATTACTCCATTCTTAAATGTCATATGATCCTTCATAAATAATTCTGTTATGCTGATTTGAGGATTCTTTGATGAATAGAAAGTTTAAAAAACATTTATTTTATATTGTAGTTTATATTGTTACAATATAAAAGTCTTTTAAATGCATCCTTGCTCAATTAAAGTATTTTGCCTTTCCAAAAAAATAAATGAATAAATCTTACTGGCCCCAAACTTTTAAACAGTTGTGTATTTATTTGCCCAGACCCATATAAGACTCCAAAAATAGCAAAAGTAATATGGTAGCATCAGCATGCTATTTTATTTTGGTTTACCAACAGTCAGCTGGCCTGTGTTCCACTTTAGTATAAACATGCAAATGCTTGAAACGCACAGCCTTGTCTCACAAAGAAATCTAGGTCAGGGATAGTTGATCATCTATAAAGTAGTCATATGACTGCATAATATGCTTGAGAAAAATATATTTCATGGTTTGTCTCATCCTGAAAGCAGTAGCATGGTTGTTATCTTTGTTGATGGTCTGCAATAGTTCAAAGTTTTGTGTAGAATTGATTCAAAACGTTTAATTGTTATACTACCCTATATAACAGAATTTGATCTCTTTATCCTCAGATGCGGTTTCTGTTATATGGAGGTCGAGAACTTGCCTGCCGGGATTTACAATGTCGTCCCCTCTACCTTCCTGCCCAAACAGGAAGGCCCGTTCTTCCTGGACTTCAGCAGTGCCACTCCACTGCGGGTTTCTCAGCTGCAATAACAGTCCCAGATCATCGGCCCACCGGATTGTTTCCGCAGTTTTGAGACACTGAAGATGCTCTAAACAGCGCTTATTGCTCACTAAAGCATGGATACGCTCATTTACCAAATAAATAAGCACCACTCACTGATGGTACCTGACATAGTGCCATATTTGTCAAGTTAGCGTGTGCTAGATAGTGTACGACTGCTCTGACTCCTGTGCCGTTGCAGTGCCATGCTTGGAGGAAGTGTTCAATCAGCCAAAAACACACTCCTTTAAGTTCTGCAGTCCAAAGCTGCATTCAAAGACGACAGTGTGCATGTACACTTGACCTGAAATGACTGTTTTTCACTCAGGAGACGGCAATAAAACAGGATGTATATTAATGATGTCTGATGATAGATCAGAGGGATCTATTTCTGTGTCTCCATACCAAGGGCTCTTCCTCCTTTTATCCCCATTATGTGCATCAAATGTCAATTTGCTCAGTTTGAGTCACTATCTACCAGCACAACAGAGTACTGTATGTTTACAGAACATAATAGCAATGACCTGAATGTTCTTACATCATAAACTTTCGACTGAATGTGATGTAATGGGGACTGCTTAAAGCTGATTTTCATTCATCTGCTCTGATGTATTTATTTGCAGATTAAAATGAAGGTGTACATGTTATCAGACATTATCACAGTTTTTACACCAGTAACTCTTTTACAATAAGGTTTTATTAGATAACAATGAATATTACCATTACTTCTTTCAGTATTTATTGTTTTTAGTTGATTTCCACATTTACATCCATTTGGCAGGTGCTTGGTTTATATTTTGGCTGTTTGTGTATTCCCATGTTTTTTTAGTTTTTAGTAAAAGAATACTTCTTTTCAGCAAGGATGCATTCAGTTTATCAAAAGTGACAGTAAAGATATTTATAATGTTACAAAAGGTTTCTATTTCAAATAAAATGCAGTTTTTTAAACTGAAGACTGGAAATAATGGCTGCTGAAAATTCAGCGTTGCCATCAAAGGAATAAATTACAGTTTACAATATATTAAATAAATGAATCAATTAATTAATAAGTGAACAAATAAATCTATATCTTACCGACGTCAAACGTTTGAGAAGTGGTGTGTGCAAAATCTCCACAACATGGCTGGTCTGCCTCAGCACTCGTCAATATCAAAATGAATCCGTTTAAAGAAAGCGGGAATTTTAACGCAACGCTTCTGTTTTATAATGTGAGGTAGTATGTATGTGGCTAACTATTAAATATTTGACAGTCGTTTTATGTTAGAATGGTAAACAGTAATATTCAGTGATTTAAACTACTCGAAATGTCGCCATTTTAATATAACGTTAAAATATAACATTTTGCTGTTTGTGTTTTCAACGTTATGCAAACATTCAAGCATTCGTATGTTCATTTTAAAACAATAATGCATCAGGTTTCATTTTAGGTAACATTTTATTTAAGTCTGAAAACAATTACACGAGCTTTGTAAATAAGACGCCATAAATCACTTTCCTCACAATCGGTTCTCAAAACGACAATAACCAAAGAGCCAACAAAACAAACAGGAGAAGAACGTTTGAAAGGCGAAAAAAAAAAACAAAGAAAAAGAGATGAGACACAAGGTCACACAAACACACCACACAGCCTACTGACTAGACCTGAAGCTGTGCCATCTGTCTCAAAATCAGTGGCTACTGCACGCAGAAGCTGGATGGAGCATTCAGTAATTGTTCTCTTCATCACTGCAGCAAGTCCCCCACCAAGATCCAATCATTCCCATAAGCCTTCTGCCCCCCTCACAGTGCAAGTACAGTAGATCCAGCTTTTTATGCTACTTTCTGAACCATTGTCTTCCACAAAACGTGAATCTGAATCTATTGCTCTTTTTCTATTTATATTGAAAACAATGATTGTTCTTTACATAGAGAGAGCATTGGGCGGCATGCGGTGGATTTGACTTGTGGAGGAAGGTGATAGTAACCAGTATGGATCAGCCTGTAGCTGCTGCAGGTCCCTGGATGACGCTGAGGTGGTGACCTGTGATGCAGGTAGTTAGCTTCACTTCCTTGTGAGTCACTGTTACAGTGCAGAAGTTCCTCTGAAGATTTTGAGTCCTTTTTGAAGATGGAAGTCTTTATGAAAGACATGCAGGTGAGTCTGTTGAGCACCAGGCTGAAGCGAGATCATGTGCAGATGCTAGATCTACAAGAACTCAGTAACGGTTGAAACATTATACTGCCACACAAATGACTGTATATTTTCCAATGGCACTGTTACAAAGACATTAAAGACAACCAGTGGCATAAATCTACATCATAACAAATCTCTTATGCATTTTATAAGTAAAAAGACAAGTGCTCCTTAATTGACAAGTGCTAACGCCATCTTCAGACTCTCTAGATCTGGAACGTTAATTGTGTTTTACCGAGATGTTGGTCTTCTTTTCAAAGCATAACTCAGTTCTTTGCCCCTCCAGTGGCAGATTTGTCTCCTCAGCACATTGTGTCACGGGTTGCTTTTCTCACAGCCGTGAGATCGAGTGAAAGTTCAGTCTGAAAGTTGGCGGAACATTCTAGACAGTGAGAGGAGTGGGCTGGGATGACACACTGGTGAAGTGGAGGACGGGTGGCTGCCAGTGCCTCTCGCACAAAATGTGGATGAATGCATCAGATACATTGGCGTTGCATGCATTGCAGTCACATCCCATCCAGCAGGATTGTGGCTGGGGAGGGCTGCTGAGCCAGACCCAGGGGGTCTCGGCCAACGGTTTTTCTGCTTTCGTTTCGGCTAAATTTTAGAGACAGCAGGCGGAAACGGCTATCCAGGACAAAGGTTGTTTTGGTGTCGCTGATGCTGTTGTTATTGAGAACGTTGTGCAGTACGGCCTCGGCACCTTCTGCTCGGTCACCTGTATGCAAAGATTAAGCCAGTTAATCAACTACATTAATTAAGGAGAAAAATAGAAAAAAAAAGAATAATAATAAATATTATTATTAATTTAATTGTATATATTTTCATTATTTATATATATATATATATATATAATAAGTTGAAATTATATACACTAATTGTATAACACACATATTATAGAAAATTTAATCATTAAAATTTTTAATTATAGTAATTATGTTACTATATTATAAAATGTTATAATACAATGTTACAATAAAAATTGTTTTTGTATTATAATATTTTACAATGCAATATTTTTGCATGGTATTTATTTTTATATGTATATTATATAATATACATAATTCATTTTTATATTTTTTTATTTTTGACATTATGTAGTAATATTAAATAATGTAATATATTTTTAATAATTGCATGAAATGCAGTCTTTACGTAATATAAATGTAAAAATACGTATTATAATGTAATATTTCATAATTATTCTAGATATTTATATAAACTAATTAGTGCTGTCAAACGATTAATCACATCCAAAATAAAAGTTTTTATTTACATAATATGTGTGTAC